CACTCAACAGCACCACACCCTTTACAGAGCAGAAAGGGGCGACATCAAAGGTTATCAGTTTATTCCATCAATTTCTTCATGGTTATCTTCACAAATGCAGTTTACCTTCAGTAAGACGTCTCACGAGGAAACTTAAGGACACTCAGAATGTGAGCTTAGTTCCTCCTGTATCATACTGCTGAATTTTTATTTATCAAAGTTTGAGATAATTTGCATTTTCAAGACCAATTTCTAGAGGACTCAAGAGTCACTGTGTGTCCTAAGTGCTTGTAAAATGCAAAAATACTCTTCTTCATCTTTTAAAATGTTGGAGCTCTTGCAGGGACTGGGGAGCAGCAAACTATCAGCAAGGCTCCACGGAGACAAAACCAGAAGAGCTGCACACTAACCTGGCCGAGCCCGGAGCATGCTCCTCTGTGAGCTTTGCAGAGGTCACACCTTGCATAGGCCTTTGCACACACACTGTTGTGCATAAATGATCACCTTTTGACTATTTTTACTTCAAAAATATTGTGTGTACCTGTCCCCTTATAAGCCACGTGGCTCTGGTGATCGGACTGTATAACAGCAAGAGTCTCCAGGCTGCCAATCATTCTGCCTCTTCTCTCCAGGTCTCCTTGTGAAAATGATCTTATACTGTAAAGCCGTTTAACAGAAATTATACAGAAGGTCCACTCTCCTCTCATGATACACCCCAAACACCTCAGCATGATGTTCTCACGACGGACACACATATATGTACACACACACACACACACACACACACACACACACACATACACACACACACACAGACACACACACATACACACACACACAGCTTTCCAGGACCAGCAGGTAATACTCTGGAATGTGAACGCATTCCCACACTCAGGCCAGTCTCCTGTCTTCTCAATCCTTCCTCTTCTCTTAGTTACAGAATCTCCAACCTTGCTTAAGGTTTACAGCCTGGTCTCCATTTTACTGCAGTCTCACTAATCTTCATAATAAAGAGAGGTCGGAGCTCCACTGTGAGACCCTCTATTCTCTTCTAATTTACTCTTATTTTATTCCTTCTGTTGAGGGTGCAGTAATTTTACCTGGGAAAGACGTTCTGTTGATTTTGCGTTGCTGGAATTGCTCTTTGTGTAGTTACTTTTCTTTTATTTCACAATGTTGGAAGCAGAGCTGCCAATATATAACAAGGACGAGACAGCTGAATGACAGAAAGGAAAGTAAACTTGCTGGTTTGGCCTGAGTTTATCTAAGACCGAGGCCTCCCGCATGTCAGGGCGTACGCCGTTCACTCCCCGTAGTGTGACATCACTGTAAGAGTGTGGTATAGCTGATTTCCCTGTAACCCATTTGTCTATTTTCTCCCTCCTCATGAGTATGTTACGCACTGTCCTTAGTCCTGAAGTCCCTTGGGCGGCCTGGCTTTAAGTTCCACGGGGGCAGAAAAACAACGAACCACAGTGGCCCAATTACATGTGACAGTGGGTGAAGAGGCCCAGGAAGGCCCTGTGTGAGGACAGGGACCCAGGAATCCCAGCAATCTGATCCCAAGGGAGTGACCGCGCTCTGAGCTCTGCAGCAGGGATGGGCACAGCTTCAGGACAAGGGAGGGGACGGCATTGTCCAGGCCTTAGGAAAACAGCCTCGTGGGGCAGGGGCTGCGTGGGCAGCTAAAGGGAGCAGGTGAGGGAGCGGAAATGTAGCTGAGATGAGGCTGAAGGGGGACCCACTGGTCCCAGTAAGGAGGGTCCCCCTCAGTGGGGAGCCAAAGGGCTTTGAACAGGGGGCGCGATTTGTGCAGAAAAAGACCATCCTAACAGGCAGCTAAGCATACAGGACTTGTTGGTGTTAAGCATTTACAGCAAATGCTTGGAATTTCTCAAAATCACGTTTTATATTATGCGATTTTGTTGCCATAAAACACTTTCACTTACAGTTCAAAAGCCTCCAGTTCATGCTTAGGTTTGGAGACCACATGATGCACCCAGTAATGGCCACCTCAAATCTTCACATAAACCACCCAAGAGCTACAGTCCAGGCACCACGCTTTGAAATTCAAACTCCAGAAACGAACAAGCCACCAAAACTGTTGATGTGATGGTGATTTGCCGTCTCCATGGATTCCTGAGCAATTTCACCCCGCTGCCCTGGTTGCTCCAGCTGGGCTTAGCAATGGCTTGGAGTGCTACCACCTGACAGCTGCTGACATAGCTGAAGTTAATCAATTCCCAGCTTAGCTTCTGCAGCCGCATGCTAATTGTCCCTGACTCATGTCTTCTTTAGCAGAGTCGGTCAGAAGGCCAGAGATCAAGTTGTTTAATCGCATCAATAAGAAACGGAAAGGAGCACTGGGTCGCTCCTCCTCCCCCTGGAGACACGGCAAATCTGCTTCCACTTTTCTCTCAGCATTAACTCTACAGCAAATCCAGTGATAGAAATGCCCAGCTTCTCTCATAAAAATGTCTACTTCCTTTGCCTTTATTCCCAGGTATCTGCCTTTGCTTCCCCAGGAAGCATCTTAAGAGAGTCCTGGGCTTGCGGGGATTCCCGGGCTCAGACAGGAAGCTGAGAGACTCAAAGGATGGGGAAGACCACACGGCCGCAGGGCTCAGTGGGTGGTCTCTGTACAGAGACAAAACTTCCTGCAGAGCAGCATCTTAGACTCCGTGAGCTCTCATGATGCAGTAATGCAGGCCCTGTGTACACGTGATGATCAAATACTGGCCACCAGGCTAAGTCACCATACAGATGAGCAAATCAAATACACTAAAGTGAGACTGGAAGCAGTCTGCACCCTGAAACAGTCCACGTGCTGCTGTATTTTTATGGCAGAGAAGGATGTATGTGACTAACCAATACTGATTTCATCGGATCTTTGTCTTCCATTCGCACGTGTCAGCTACACAGAGCAGTCGGCTCATTGGGCCCCGGTTTGCTCCAGCTGAGGTTAGACACACACGCCGGTGACATACCTGGACCCTTCCCCGCCCCTCGACGTGTCTGCCTCCCTTACCCTCTCTTCCACCTGCTTCCTCTCCCAGAGGATCCCTTCTCTGTTCTTATCCCTCGTCTATCTTTTGTCCGTAAATTCCTCACAGGAGAAGAAATATGCAATAACGATCTGAGCTTCAAGTGCGGTAGTTACTGCAGAGAGCTCACAATGACCAGCAGAGGTCTGGAAATCAATAAAAGCACTTCGGTTCATAAATTCGGGATCTCCGCTCCTTACCACGCTATGTCTTTTCAAGGTACTCTTTCCTGATAATAGGACCTTATAAAAGTTCTTGATTCCCAAAGAACTTTACATTCAGTGGTAGAGCCAGAAGCAAATTTGGGGTTGGAATTAGAGACCTACATTACACAGCCTATTTGTTCCACCACTACCCACTACTGTCTGTTAAGTTCCTCCTCTTGTAGTTGGTTTTACCCTACTAAGAGCCACAGAATGTTTTGCACTATCACAAAGAAATCTTCCCGCTGTGGGGAGATTGGTAAGGAATGGAAAACCTTGGGTTGATGAACAGAGCATATTACTGGTGTTTCCTCTCTCACATGAAGTAATCTTCAGGTCACCCCGCACCTCCTTTGCCACACTCTGCTCTCTCTGGCTCCTGTAAACGCCTCTCATTTTCTTTTGATGCAAAGCATTTTATCAATAAAAGCTATGGGGAGACATTATTAGCAGAAATAATGTGGAAAGTTTTTAAAACATTTAAGTTTTAATTCCTAAACTTAACCTTCACATTTGTTCATAAAAGTTGAACACTGCTTCTAGACAGATGGGAACTGCAGGTGCCTAGGAAAGGTGAGACGGGATTAAGGAACTGATATTTCTTTTTGGATATATTTGCAGAGGAAGGGTTGCTGGCTCATATGTCAGATATATTTTTATTGAAACTTCTTAATTCAAAAATGTATTTCATTTGCCTAATTTCAATTTAAAAGCCGAATTAATAAAGCAGAGAGAAGGTAGGTTTGCAGGACCAGGGCTTGGGTAGGAAAAATCAAGATATGTTGGTCAAAGGTTTCAAAGAGTCATGAAATGAGCACATGCTGGAAACGTAATCACCACTTTAGTAATGACGTCTTCGATAGAAATTTGCTGGGAGAGTGTATTTGACATAGTCTCCCTCCAAAAAAGAAACTACATGAGGTGAAGAATGTTTGAATTGGTATGACTGTCATAATCATTTTACAACTTCCCTGCATCTCAGGATATATCTTGAATGAAAGTGATTCTTGTCAATTGCACCTCTGTAAAGCTAAATGTTGCATGCAATTTTTAACTCATATTTTTTCCTACGGAAATTGTCATATATGATGCCTAGAGTCTTGTTGAAGAAACATTAACAGAAAAAGTTAAACAGCTTTATGACAGCATGATACTATAGAAAGACCGCCACATTCCTATTTTGATTTACATTTCATCAGCATGTCTGTTAAGAAAACTTATCTTTCACAAGGTGCTTGGCAGGTTCTCTGGGATTTTCTCCAGCTGGGGACTAAACCCAGGGCCTCGTATATGCTGAACAAGTGCTCTACCACTGAGCTACTCTCCAGACCTTATGTGCTCTTAGAATAAACAGTCAGAAGAAACGATTATGAGCTGAGCAGTGACACACGTGGCTATCAGAGTCTAAGGTGACTGCGAAGTGTGTGGAAGCATTGATGAAGGATGAGCTCTGTCTCTGTGGCGAGAACAGGAAACGAAAGACTTTGTCCTCTACCAGCCTTGCTGGGGGCTCCGGATTCTCAGTCTCACTCTGGCCTCTCCAGGCTTCCTGGGACTCCTGTCCCCAGGTTCCATTTTCTGCATGAACATATAGATTTTAAAACTTAATGCACGATACATCTAATAAAATTAAATAGCAATTGTTCTACAAGAAAAACCGAAGGAGGCTTTATTTTTAGTAGTCTTGTGACTTCCCTTACTATGAGGAGAAGCAATAGGCTAAGAGTTGGGGCAAGAGCTGGGCTCTGGAAGCATTTGCTGGCCACTAGATACCAGTAACTGATGCGTGTAAAAATCTAGTTTCTACTAGATGAAAAACAGGGCATTCATGTCTTTATAATCGATTGCATGCTTTTTAATCTCGAGTAACTCTGAGCCTAACCGGGAGACATAAAAACACAACGAACTTGAATAGGAGAAGTTTGATATGAAGACCGGCCGACTGTCAACCATTACTGGAGTCAGGAAGAGTCGCCTGATGGTTGGGGACACCAAGCCATCACACACAGGAACATGCTGCAGAGAGCAGGGCCAGGCCAGCGCTGAGATCCGAGGGGCAGAGCAGCCCCTCTTCTCTCAGCCTGAGATCCAGACTCTGTCAAGAGAGAAATTATCTCAGTTCCCAGGGAGACAGCGAAGTTGCTATGGAAACTCGTCACGCAGAGGGAGGCTCACCAGTGACCTCTTTCAGGAACCTGCCCAGGGTGACCTTGGGTCCCAGGGCTCGGCAGAAGCCTGGTGCTGGAGGAGGACTGCAGACAGCAGAGCAGGAGGCTCCAACCCTGGAACAGGTAGCTAGTGACACTCGCGGAGCCCCAGAGGCGGGGATGCACTGTGTCACCCCACGCCACATGCAGCAGGCGAGGACACACAGGGTAAGTCGGGAAAGAGGGAAGGAAGGAAAGTGTGCACGGCGTTTTCCTCGGGGAGGGACGGGCAAGGCAGGGCGACCAGCTGGGGGACTGGCTGGCTGCTCTTCAGTCCCAGCTTTCTTTCAGAAACACAGAGTTTAGCGAGGCTATGGGCCCTCTTGGCTTCAATAGGAGCCTCTCACCCAGCAGGCTTTACTCACACCCCTGAAACTCCTGGGGCGGCCTCAGCCGAGGTCCTACCTGCCCTTCGCTCAGTCTTTCATGCTGTCGCCAGCCACGGACACGAGGGGATTGGCACGCACATCTAGAGCTTTCTGGGTTCGTGGTGCCCTCGTTTTTTGGTTGCATCGCCTCATTTTGCAAACACCGGATGACCACCGACTGTGCTCTGCAGCCGCAGCTCGACCCAGCCCTGCACCTGCCTGCTGGTGTCTGGATTTGACCCGGAGCTTGGCAGACAGGGAGCCCAGGGTGAGAGCTGGCAGTGCAGACTCACCAGGTGAACCTCCTGTTTCCAGGGTCAGGACTCTGAGGCTTCTGCTTGTCTTGATTCTGTCTGCATTTTACGCTACAAGACATTGTGCCCTGATGTCTTGCATGCTGCTTTCAATCCGCTCTGACATTCCTGTCCCTGGAGAGTGAGGTTTGGAAGTGGTGCCCTTGCCGTCCGTCCCTGTCAGTCCTGGCTGTGCCCCTGCACACCCTCCACCTCTGCTCCCTGCTGCTGCTTCGGAAACACTCGCAATGTCGAATTTCATGCTTCACTGTTGCTCCTTGTAAGATTTTATTTAGAAAATAAAATCTGCTAGGAGTCGTTTGGAAAATCACTGCTGTAGACCATTTTTATTCCACAGAATTCGATCATTTCATAACATGTGCCACTCCAGACTTTGGGTTTTAATTTCAGCTAATGACTAACCAGTGTTAGAGACTATAGCAAAAATTTTAATAAACTCAATATATTCTTTAGGGTTCTTTATTCACAGTCCTGTGATACTGTAATATATGGAACAAAGCCAATATTTTATATAGTCCTTTTAAATGCAGCTGTAAAAGAAAATGGTGAATGTTGTATAAAAACTTTAATGTTTTAAAAAGAGGAATGTGTATTTCTAATTATTTAATTATTGCGTCTTTCCAAAAATTTGACTATCTTGCCTAATGTTAACTGTTTTTTAAACAGAACGTTGTAATAATCTTTTATCAATGCGGCTCTTCTATTCACAACTAAAGGGGATTTTAATTTTCCAGTTAGCATAAAAATATCACACGGGATAACATAGTGCCTGATGCCCTCGTCAGTATGAATAAAATAGACCTTAGAAAAGCAAGCCTAGAGTTAAGAGTTAGCAAGAAATGTGAAAGTGAAGGTTGCAGATAGAAAGAGACCAAGAAAAAAGGAGGCTGTTGAAAAAATGAGGATGGAAAATAACCTAGTTCTGACCGCCAGCATAATCATTTTGTTTATAAAACACGCCAGGCAAGCATTTCTCCCCTTTCAATTCAAAATAATCTAGAGATCAGATAGCTCCTATGAATGTTTCAGTGCTGAAATGGTGAGGTCCAGTGAGAACCAGGAGCAGAATGACAAACAAGTCCCCGAACCCCACTCGCTCCACTTTGGTAAACTTGCACAATAAACACACCGTCTGGGTTTTCTTTAAGTACGTTATTTTACAGAAAGTTGCTTACATTAATTCCCACTGTAAATTTGTTGTCGTGCACATTGCAATCAACCGCAAGTCTGGACAAAAGAAATTCAGCCTCAGTGAACTGAGAGAGAGCGGTTTTAGTGACCGTTGAACTCTAACACAGTAACAGGAAATTACTAGAGAAAATGAGGATGCTATGGAAGATACGTGTGGCCCTTTGGAATTTCTCTTTAGCTAGCTTGTCCTCAAAGCAATAGTTTTTCTCTTCATCATTTTGTTTTTTGTTAACCCTTATTCAACATTTCAAAACAAGAATTTTCAAAACAAGAATTATGCTTACGGAGTAATGGATCACCAAAACCAAAGGCAATATTTTATTTGTACCCTTTAACTATGTATCTGCAAATTTAGGTTTTCCGTCTTTAAATTTGGTCACAGTTTCCCCCTGGGATTCGCAGTGCAGCACTGTTACTTGGAGAGCACAGCTTAATTAAAGACAAACCACACACTCCACGGAGTCCAGATCCACGAACTTCTCAGAGTAATAACACTCCCAGTGTTGTTACAGAAACTTCTCCTGCATCCCAGGCCTGGAACTTGTTATATTACAGGCCTGAAAAATAGGATGAAATAAACAAGCCAGTTCAATTTTTAACCAAGGTTAAGAACAAAAATGCCAACACCGTTTCAAGCCGAGCAGCGCTGAAAAGCTCCTCTGTTTCTAACCATGGCTCAAGGGGGAGGCAGAGGGAGAGGATGGCGTAGATGGACCCCAGGATGAGGTGCAAACATTGGCTTTTGGATGGTTTAGCTTTGGTGGCTATGTGACCTGAGAAGGCGGATGAAGCCTGCATTCTGGAAACAAACAGTCTTTTCTTTCAGAACACGGCGCTGACTCCCCAGGGGCACTGTGGCTGATCTTTTATTTGAACTAGTTTTTATCACATAAACATCCTGACAACAGAGTTGTCGGTAAGTGCAGCCGTAGAAAATCGATGTCAGTGTATGGTGGGATGGCATTTTCCAGGAGGGCACTGTCTCCCAAGCACAGCTTGTGTGAGCCACGATTAGTTAGGGGAACACTGGCCTCAGGCATGGGGCAAGGCAGGACCCTGTGAAGACCCATTGAGGGGAACGGACTTTCCTTCCTAGTAAGGGTGGGCTCAGCAGGGCAAGGTCCTAAGGCCGTTCATAAAGAGATTGGCATTCCTTGGGCACCCTCGGTGGTGGACGTGATGAGGAGGTCAACCCAGGAGTAGGGGGGGTCTCACCCTGAGCGTGGGCTCCCCATTTACCATGCTGCCGCTGTGCCACTCTCTGTGCTAGAAAGTCACCTCCCCACTCCTCCACAGGGCTACCAAGGGTCAAGACTGATGACAGGGGGAGCCGGAACACTGCACCCATAGTCAATGGCAACGTATCCTGCACTTGAGAATTTGCTAAAAGGATAGCTCTCTTGTCCTGTTCTTATCACACACACAAACATTGTCATGTGATGTAATTTGAGAAATATATAAAAAAGAACAATCCAGGAATGGATAGACATAGTATGAAAGAGAGAGATAAAAGAAAAAGCAAGAGAGGGAATAAGGGAGGGAGGAGGAGAAAGGAAGAAAGGAAGGAAGGAGAGAATGAAGGAAGGAAACATAAGAAGCCTCAGGAGGGTTGGGGGTGATATGTCCCACATCCGCAGAAGAAAATTTCAAACCCCTTAAAAATAAGGGACCGGGATTGGTAACCTCAGAAACCTGGGTGATTTCAAGGCCTTTGGAAAAGTCACATTTGATCATGTTTAGATATCAGAATTTCTGTCACCATGAAGTCCAAATGTAATATTATAGTTAATACTGAATTCGGAAAAATCACAGGGACTGAAAACTGTATACCAGTGATCCCGAGACAGAGCCTCAGCACGTCAGATGCCGCTGAATTAACTCCAGGGGGTGAGGGGGGTGTTTCGCTACCCTTATCCTTTGAATTACAGCAGTCTTTAGGGCATGTCTACACTCCTCCTAATAAAATAAATATTTATGTTAGTCATAAAGATTTGGGTTAATCTTGAACAAATTTATCTTTGACAAGAAGAACATTTATTTCAATAGGAAATTTCAATTCCATCAAGTTACTAGTTCTGATCACTTCCTAAGTAAATGTCATCTTCTTTTAGTTGTATTAAATTCTGTCATTATGCACATATTTTCTTTTTAAAAATAACATTTTAAAAGAAACTTATTATTGTTAAGGAATCACCAAAGAAATGAGACGATTAAAAATAATACTTCAGAGTTCTATTGCTACTCTGCTGCACTGATTTTAGGTACGTAATGAAGCACAAAGAAACATGATCATCAGTGCCAATTCCCAATTGAAAATCTATAAAAATTTAATGTATGAAGCACTAAAATAAAAAGGGTTTCACTCTTGCTCCTTTACGTCTTGGGTCATCACATGGCTACCGCCTCTTTTCACCCATTCATTCATCTCCAGCCAGCTTCCAACCCTCACTTGATAACTGCATCCTTTTGTTCATAACATCCATATGTTTAGTGAATCCTGAAAAATAACACTAAGGAAAAATTTTAAATAGAGTCCTTATGGAACCTCTACATGCTTATTTAGATTCTGTGTCCAACAACAAATATATCTCATATAGGACTCTAAGATTACTGCCATATTTTGGATGCTTTTAGGAAATTGCAAATTATTTTACAACAGAATATATTTATATTCTGACACAACTCAGATAACTTACCTTAAATTTCTAGCACATACAAAACCAGGAAATTTCTTGAGATTATTCGGCTAGTAAATTTGTGAAAATCTATGTTTAACTGCTTCTAAGTGGTCCAGCTGAGGTAGGGAAAAACAGAAAAGATACAGAAGATTAGAGAAATGAAAGACAGAATATTCTAAGAGATTTTATGTATGGTAAACACAGTGATAGATCTCTCAGTGTAATGTAGTTAGGAAAAATCACACATTAGGTAATTTACTCACATTTTATAATTTTAAAGTTACATTTACACTTGAAAGCATTTCCTTCTACTCTTTAATTAAGACACATTATTACCTTTGATGATGATGGTGATGGTTATGTCACTTTGGGCCGCAGTTACTAAGAGTTTGTGTAATGAAATATCTGAGAGCCGCCTATTAGAATATTGATGGCCGTGTCTAAAGAATAATGCCAAGTCGAATCCATTTATAATAAGTCATCGCAGTTTCTGCTGGAACAGTTCACTGGGCCCAAACACCTTCCACAAACATCCATTCCCACGAGGCCACAGCAGCCACAGCTAACCTTACAGAATCACAGTGGCTCACCGAGAGTTCCCGAAACAGGGAGATCTGGTAGCCATCCATGAAGAACCTAGGATCTTTGTATAGATTTCTCTTATTACTTTGTCACATTTTTAAAATAATCATTTTTAAAAATTCACTGAGGATGAACAAGAAGCTTACATACCTAAAGGAGGCTACTTAAAGCATGCGTTTAACTCCTCTGGTTGGCCGTTTTGCTTACGGTCACCGACGATCATGTAACTTGTGTAATCAAAATCATATATTTATTGTTAGGATGTTTTGCATGCTACCTAATAAAAACAGAGTGTCTCCTACATGTTAGGAAGGCCTGGGCAGAGAAGACAGTGCAGACGCAGGATGTCTCTGCCCTTGGAAAAGTAGATGTCTTGTGTAAATGATGAACGGGTGATACTGATGAGACTGCCAGAACAGAAGCCAACAGCTAGAATGGAACAGACCTGGGGGACTGGCTAGAGATGGACAAGAGGAGGCGGTGGTGGGCTGTCCCGTGTGTCAGACCCTGTCACGTGGAGTCCCTAGGAAACGGGGCTGGAGCAGCTCCTGTGGTAAAGGTGCAGAGGATGAGGCGATGGCGGGGTACAGAATGCAAGGGGGGCACACAGCGAGGGGGGAAGATAAAAGCCACTAGGCATGGGCTTTACAGAGCTAACCACAAAGGGTTCTCAGTCAAGAAACTGGTCTTTCTACCTGGGTTGTTATGATCTACAGAGGGCAAAATATAGCTCTTGGTAACGTCTAGATCTTTTTTTTTTTTTTTTTAAACACAGGGCCTTGCTACATAGTTCAGGTTAGTTTGGAACTCACTATGTAGCCCAAACTGGCCGCGAACCATGGGGACCCTCCTGCCTCAGCTTCCCCAGTGCTGAGATTACAGTCCTGTGTCACCATGCCCGGCTGGCTTTCAGATTCCTGTTAGTCTAAGTTTGGACATGATGATTTATCCCCTACCTTACCCTTTTCTTTTAGGCATCTGAAGGTGCCGAGACCTCTCATCTATGCTGGGGGTCACCAGGTAGTGCCTTGGCTGGGACCTCAGTCACCAGATACCAGATGGAGGCCACCAGGGAGCCAAGCTCACCAGAAGATTAGGAAGGAATCTTGGGCACAGTGCTGCAGCTGGTGGTTCCAGGGCACCAAAGACTCCCGATTTCATGTTCTTTTCTAAGTCAAGCCATTGGCTGCTTTTACAGCAACTCAATCTTGCCTGATGTAAGCTTTTCAAAGACCACTCACGCCACTGCACAGAGATGTGAGATGCAGGGGAAAACTGCGTGGTGGGAGACAGCTGATTCTGAGACATGACACCGACATTCAACTCTATTAAAAGTTCAGAAAAGATAAGGAAAGAAAATTATAATTGTCTTCCACATAGAAACCTTTGATGACCCTTATCTGAGCCGTTAAAGTAATAGGAAACAAGCACTCATAACACTGAAAGAAAATTGGAAATGTATAAGATAAAGGTGGAGAGAGTTCTGTGCGGGGGTTGAGGGTAATTTTTATTCAAGACAAGACTCCACTGTTAAGAGATGGTTTGGGACATATCTGTGTGCTGCTCATGACCCAGTCACAAAACACAAGTTTATACGGCAGGGCCGAGTGGGTGATTTGCAGGACAGATTTCCAGACTGAGGTGCAAACAAGCTTGGACTGAGAAAATGGGTTCGTCTTGGGAGAAGTGAGCTGCTTTACCCTCAGCATGGCCACCCGAATCCTGAGTCATTCAGAAGCTATTTAAAAGTACTCTCCTTGTGGTTATGAAAAGACACAAAATTACTTCAGATTCCATGTAAGAAATAGCAAGTACAAAATAATGAAATGTTCATAAAATGGCTCAAACAAATGTACACAGAGGCACAATGACTGATGTTTCCTGCTCCAAACCACTGTCAATTATTCGTCACACATGCTGTGTGTAATCTTTATGATTAGGTGCTGTGGCTTGTGTCTAGATGTCCCCTCAAAGCCCCATGCAATCTTAGGGTGTTTTGGGGAGGTGCTGGATCCAGAGTGTGTGACTGAGTCACAGTGCAATACTGAGATTCAGGGTGCTGGCTGGGACCAAGGGTGGGTGATTGCTGGATCAGCCCATTGGCTAGATTGGCACTGAACCAATCCTGGTAGACTGGATACCGTCTAAGGGACAGAAAGAGGCCTGTCTTTCTCTCTGTCATTGCGTTTTGCTGTCTTTCATGGCCACGAACTGTTACCCCTCTGCACCCTACCTTGGTGTGAGCCTGTTAAGGATTGAAATCTCGACTACTGTGAACTAAAGAAACCTTTCCTTCTTTGAGTGTCTGGTCTTTTGTCTCAGCAGTAAGAGAAACGGGACTAAGATACCATGTACCTAAAGGTCTATAGTTTTTACCTTCAAGCCACCAGGTTCGCTCAGCTGGTCCGAGATGGCAGGTTTGGGGCTGAGCACAGACCTAGAAGGCTTTAACATAGCACGCAGATGGGATCTGCACCCAGCGGATTCCCTTTCCAGGGAGGTTGGCAGCCGGGTCATCTTCCCTTCCCACCAAGGCCTTTTTGCTTCATTTCTTTTCTTTTTTAACTTCTTCTGAGGACTGTTTTGCTTTCCAGTCATGTGGCAACAGACCTCATATTTCTTGCCATTTCTCTGCTGAAATCGCTAACTAGGGGACTGGAAAGCTTTGCTTGGACTTGCGCTGACCATGTTTTTCAAATCTGTAATTTCTCTTCCAAATGGTTATTTTGGATCCTTCCAGGAGGATCCACTAAGGCAAGGGAAATGGAGTTTTCAGGAACCAAGAACCCAGCTTCCAGCGACTCCCTGTCTGTCTCCAAGGTTCGTTAACTTTTAGACTGCAAGAGACCAGGATGGTTAAAACAAACAAACCTGACAACACGAACACGAACAACTGCATGAGCCCCTCTCACCGGTTAGCACTGGCGTAGCTCTTACCGCTGCAGGACCTGCTCTTATTCCAAGAAGGAAATACAGAACAAAGACTCTATTCACTGTGCAGCCCACGTAATTTGGAGATGATCTCCTTGCAGCACGGCCTGACTTATCCCTCTCCTTTTGCCCATTCGGGTCCAATTTTTCTAATTGCCTGTGAATAAGAAAGCCAAAGCCTTTGGGGGTTTTATGGTGCTCATGCAGTTACGTGAGTGCAAGTCCCTTCTAATACAGTCCCATTACCACCGCTGCTGCCACAGTCCAAGCCACCGCATTGGCTATCCTGAGACATCCATGTTGTGCTCTGGTTTCTTTTTGAAAAATAAGGAGGAACGTACTTGAGATAGCAGCCGCATGTTAGGGGATCCTGGGATATCCAGGCTTCTCCATGATATTTCACGACTCCTTAAAGTGCCTCCAAAGAATCACACTTCAAATATAATCAACAATACCAAGTGGTGGCAAAACCTAGCACCGAGCCCTTAGAGCCATCAGATTAAAAATTCCTGCACGGATCAAGAAAACCAACAACAAATGCTGGAGAGACTGTGGGGGAAAAGGAACTCTCCTACACTGTTGGTGGGAGTGTAGACTGGTACAACGTTTGTGGAGGTCAGTCTGGAGATTTCTCAAAAAGCTGGGATTGGAAGTCCCATTTGTTCCAGCTATTCTACTTCTAGGCATATTCCCAGAAGAACTGAAAGCATCATACCACAGTGATATATGTGCACCTATATTTATAGCAGCACAATTTGTAATCGCCAGATCTTAGAAACAACCCAGGTGTCCATCAACTGAGGAATGGATAAAAAAGTTGTGGTATTTCTATACAATGGAGAATTACTCAGCTATAAAGAAGGATCACATTGAGATATTTATCAATAAATGGGTGCAGCTTGAGACTATACTCATAAGTAAAATAAATCAATCTCGCATGTGTGAATACCGAATAGTTTCCCTAATGTAAGTAATGATTCAAATATATAAAAGTATGTGGTAATCATGATTCCCCATTATGTGGCCTTGAAGCCTTATAAAGTTTTCACTTATTAATTGGAAAGGCTTTATTCTGGACTTCTTGATATGGAAATATTTGAAGCTATAGTATATAAAGTTATATTCAAATATTTCAAGGAAAAAGACAAACACTATGGTAACTACTATTAAGTCGGGTTATTTGGTAGTAAAGCACTAGGTTGCTGAAACAGTCATGCTTTGACCTGTATTGTTATGTTGTTATGCCTTTTTTAAATCTCAATCTCTCCCTTATTCATTAAAAAAATTATTTAGTTATTTTTTATGGGTTTTTTGATTAAAGGGAAAAATTTTAAAAAATTAGCAGGATATATTATAGTAACTTTTTTTGATTTCCTATCAACTTGATTAGAAGTCCTGTAATACTCCCACTATCTTGTTTTGACTGATTAGACTCTGTTCTGTTTGTATGATAGTATCAAGTTTGAGGGTATAGGCAACTACTTTGAAGGCAATAAGATTCACTAAGATGCCCATTCTGGTTTGACTATTATCTCCTTTGGAAGTCCTATAATGTTTACAATGTTTAAGTTTTATTGGTCTTGTTCTCTACTGTTTTGTTCAACTTTATAATACCTAATGAGATAGACAATTCTTTATAAGGAAGCAAGAGGCATTATGGTAACCATTGCTGATAATCTTGTACTCTGTTTTTACATCATGTGCTGTGTCTATCTTTGGTTTTGACTGACAGCTTTGTTTTGCCATATTTGACTTTATTCTCTTCCAAAAAAAAAGTAATAAGAACTAAGGAGTAATAAAACCCAAAATGTGTAAATTTTGTTGTAAAAAGAGAGGGAAAAAAAGTGATCTAAAGGCTACAACTGCAAGTGTGTTTAGGGGTGTTAAATAGCTGACCATATTAATGTTTTTGGTGGGATCATTGAACACAACTGTTTGCAGTCTCTGTTTGAATGTTCACTTTGTGTGCTTTGATACTGTGACTTGAGCAACTATCTCTAAGACGATAATGTGTAATCTATTAACTGGTGATTTCTTACTGTTAATTTTTTTTTTTTGTAGTTCTGTATTACCTGTACCCTTACACTACTTTGTTTTGTTTTGTTTTTTCTCTTTTTCCTTTTAAATAAAATTAGAAAATAAAAAAATTAAATTAAATTTTAAAACAATTCCTGCACTGGGTGGGGCCAGATCTCTGCTCTGCTCTGCTGTGCTCTGCAGACTGATTCTTCAGGGAGGTGGGAGCCAACACAAATGTAAAACCCAGGACACAAAACAGCACAGAAGAGGAAAGGAAAAAATTGCCAGATAACCAATAAACATGCACAAGCATCTGTTTTGAGCCACCAGTGGTTATATTAGCGCTCGTAAATAAACATAGCAAAGGGATTGGCCTGTGGTCGTTTTCTCTCCCAACATCCCAGTTTCTTAAACTGTTCATTGGTTTAGGAAATGGGAGAGAACTATTTTCTTGGATAAATCTGTGTATTTGGCATCAACATACACTGGAGAGCTTTTAAAAATATAACACTATACATGTGTCTTAGTTACATTTTACTTGTCACTGAGACAAAATACCTGATGCCTAGGGAAAGGATGTTGGGAAGGAAAGGTTTATTTCTTACAGGTTTTGAAGGTTTCAGTCCATACTCAGTTGGCTCCAAGGCTGGGTGGCATGGCGGGGCCGCAGTTCATGGTGGCTGCAAACAGCAAGAAACAGGCAAGACAGAGACACACCTTCTTCTGCCATTACATTGTAAGCTGGCTCCACCCCTAGGTGGGTGTAGCACTGGCCCCCCCCCCCCCATCCAAGCTCTAGACAATGAATCAATCACAAATGCACAATGCAAATGCATGAGGCCTGGGGGCCACCAACATAAACCATGACAACACGTAAGAGACTTAAAATTATATAACTTATGAAAGTAACAGGGTTCGGTGACGTCTTACAACTTTACGGATTTTACCTGTTATTATCTACTCTCATCAGTTCCTATCTGTTCTCTTAGCGAAGTGTCAACTTCTCTGTAAGGTAAAATAAATGCTCACATATTCTGGTTTCATACAATTTTTATGAACAGACAAATTGTGTTCAGAATGAAGTGAAATTAAAATATAGTATTCATAAAACTGACCCATTTTGCTCTGCTTTGATAACTAAGGCATTATAATTTATATAACCATAGCTATAAATTCTTCGTGTAAGTGTAAAATCGTAATTCCGCAAGTTGCAGGTCCCTGAGACAATGCAGTGTATGCTTGACACATATTTTGGTACACTGAGTGCTACGTAATTGTTACTCTTTTAGCTTTGGGAACAATCTATTGATCGGCCCTCAGGGAACGGTCCGGTCCCTTCATGTCATGGGACATGATGTCAGGTAGCACCCAGAGCAACGCTGCTTGGGACCCTTCACAGAGCGGTAACTTACCTTTGTATATGGCTTCAATTCAGCACCAAACTTAGCTAGAAGAGAAAGTGGAATCACATCTCCCCACTTTCTACCCCCAGGATGACTTCATGTGGGCATCTAATGCCTTCTGCACATATTTTAATTTTCTTTGGTTTTGTTTTTCTATTTATGTTTTTAAGAATCATAATTAAATTTGCACTAAGAAAAATAAACATAACGATGTGTTAAAACAGTAATAACTTAGATCAGGAATGCTTCTGTTTGTGAAAAATTCACTTTGTAAAAAGAAGTGTGGCAAAATTTTTCTGCTACTCACAAACTCCATGCGGACTGATGAACACAACCGTAGTAATCTTCCCCAAAATCATGGAAAAATTAAGTTTGTGAACTGAGGCACCACTGTATCATTAATTTTTCAATTTAACTGCTAAAATATATTCAAAATGAGAAAAAATTCAGAAAAATAAACGTCTGCATGTCTTGGACAAATGTGTGTTTGTGTGTGAATATTTATTTCTGAAATTTCTTGGGACTACTGGAAGAATAATTATTTTTAAACAATTTTGGTGTTTATGTGTTAAAGTTTTATTGCCACCCCTAGGACTGTGTTTTATAAATTTCTTTCATTATTATCTTATTTTTAACTCTCTTTCGATAGGAAAAAAGCAATAAAATGATTCAAAAGAGGTAAAAAAAATTCAAAAACACTCAGTATAACGATTATTTAGACACCACTAAAAACTCTATTTAGATCATAATCTTAACATAGTCTATAAGCTGATGCTAGCATTCCTTTCTTGGAAGTTTCTGGGAAATTCTAAAGGGAAATTTCCTTTTAAAGGTCATTGTGCACCCGCAGGCAGTGAGGACATTCTCCTGCTCACAGACATGTCGTTCTCTTGCACAATACAATCACTTACAGATACGATGTTCTAGACCAGCCTGTCCCTCAGCCCAGGTCACACAGTCCAAAGCCAGTCCTGTCTTTTCTCTCAGTGTTCTTTTCATCAATTTTTTATGTTTTTTCTTTTAAGTCACTTAGTACAATTTGCAAGTTCGATAAGACGATATATGTTTTAAAAGGAGCTGAGCCATTCATGGTTGCATAAGCCTACAATATGCGCACTTGGGAGGCTGAGGCAGGATTATTACCATGAACGTGAGGCCAGCCCAGGCTGCACAGTGAGTTCCAGGCCAAGCTTAACTAAATAGTGAGACGCTGTCTCAAAAAACAAAAGAAAACAAAAAGCATAAATTAATTCATTTAAAAAAAGAATGGCTACATTCTAAAAGTGCTTTTATTTTATCAAGAGAAACATACAGTGCTAAGGGGATGGTGTATTTGTAAGACACAGAACTGGAGTTAGTAGATTTCCCTGGAGTTCATTCTTTTCTTAAGTTGCCTATAGAAGAAAAACCCTGCTCAAAGCCTAAGTAATCCTAGGATATTGGCTCAATAAAATTGCTTAGATCTACTTCACATCTGAACTTCAAACTTTTCCTCCACGTCCTCTGTATAGCACTGTATCTTTCATTTAGAGGGCACAGTGGAGAAGGCTCACCTGCACGGAAGAGCCGTGTACATAGGCATGAGCTTCATGTTCCCCAGGGCCAGGGTCTGTGAGCCCGGTCCAGTGTCCTCTCCTGTGTCCTCTGCTTCCTGACAAACAGCTGCCCACACCAGGACCGTTTCCCCATCAGATGCCAAGTGTCTGCACTATAGGATGTTTACAAGTCACTCCTCATACAGATGATATGAACCAGTTTTCCTCTGTGTATAAAAATACTACACTGTTTCAGGGCTGGAGAAGACCTGCCTGGCAAGCTCAAGGTCATGAGTTCAATCCCTACTATAAAAAATAAGAAACAAACGAACAAAACTACTTTATAAGACATTGTAAAATTAGAAAAACATACCAGATGCAAATCATACTCACCATTTTCAATAATCCTTTAGTATCTTGTATATTTATAGAGGGTTTTGAAAAAAATTGTAGATACAGATATTTCATCCTAATTTCAAACTTGTTTTTTATTTTTTAATATGACAGCTTCATTAAATCACAAGTCTGCAAGTCACGCAAATTAAAAACAAAATGTAATATTCAGAAGACCTCAGCACATTTGCAGAGCTATTAAACAAAAATCACAATCAAACAGTCATTTTTGCATCACAAATTAAAATACTCCACCTTCTAGCTGTCACCTCCCAGCCCCTCCCCATAAAATACATCAGCTAATTTTGAGATTTATCTTATGTTTGGGTCAGATCTTCATAAGCAGGTCATAATTATGTAGGCATTTAAATTAGTCACCACAGTGATTACATGATTGTTAGAATAACTTGCTTCATCATTTCTTGCAAAATATTTACAGAAGATTGATGACAATTTTTGTTAACACTTCTAATGTTTTCTCTGTTTTAAGTGCCCATGGTCAAGCCCCCACCCACCCACACACCTACCCACACACACATTACTGCATTCTGATGAATTACACTGGCCACAAGTGACATATATTCATTTAATGAAAATTCCCTTATAGAATTTTGTGTATTGCTGGTCTCTGTGAGCTTGATCCCTGGAGACTATGGGAAAGAAATTGGGTGCTCCCCAAACCATTTACATGGGTCCCGAGAGACCTGGGCAGGATGGGATTCAGTGAAGAAACTTCCTAGAGAATACTGGGAGACTCTCAGGGCAGGGGAGGTTAAAATCACCAATAGCAGCAGAAAATGTGTGGATAGAGTCTGTCTGCCTCACCCGCTCCAGGAGACTCCAGTTACGGAGCATTGCCTGAGCAGTGCCGAGATGACACACAGTCCTCAGACACCAAGGATGAGACTCAGCGTGGAAACAGAGCCCGAGTTCCAGGGAGCCTTTTCTCCCCATCCCAGGGAGAGGACCCTAATGCCCACTTTGTGCATTCTCCTCCTCTCTCTGTTCGACACATGAGGAAGATACAAGTGAACTCTGCGAGCAAACTTCCTGTACAGCATGGATGGAAGAGGTTCTTTACACACCTTGAAAAGCCAGTGACAATGGGGCTTGGTCACGGTGAACATGGCAGTGTCTTAAAGATGACACCGAGGACCATTGGGGCACGATGTGACATGGGCACAGCCACCAGGAAGGGCCCCAGATGTCATCACTGTGGACACTGGTGGAGCTGGTGGAGTCCATCTCAGAGCCCAGGGTAGGAGGACCTGGGTCACACGTGCTGCCCAGCAGCTGCAGGCTGGCAGACGGGGAGGCTGAGGGTGCAGAGCCCGTGACCCTGGCCCTGAAGACGCCCAGCTGCCCCAGCTGTGACATGCTTCTCATAGGAAGGGGCTTCTGCAGCTGGGCTACTGTGGATGGTGTGGGTCCCACTCTGTGTCAGGGCAAGAGAGAGCTAGGAGGGGACCCAAGCCTGGGACTGACTCAGGACAGGCCTTCGTGACTACTCTGAACTTGAAAAGACAGACAGGTTTTGGGGGTTATAGTTCAGTCATTTGCTTGGTCAAGAATCATGTGTCTTACCCAGTAATTCTGCATGTTTCCTGATTGCCTTGATTCTGCGAGAAAAGCATCTCCGACTTTTCTCAGTCAATCTTTGGAAACACACAGATCCATCCATATTAAACCTCGATTTATTAGACTACCAGGGAAAAAATTCTTAATGCCATGCTGCCCTGCAGGTGAAAGGAATCAGACACAGATCTGGGTGCCCTTGAGTACCCCACAGACTCGACAGCTGGGGCTCAGGGAGTAGAGACACCAGGGACACCCATGGACCTGAAGTAGCCAGTCGCCTGCCAGCCACACGGGTGGCAGATGGGGACAGACAGCTAGGCAGGGAGTAACTGGCACCTCAGCCCTCTGTCTGGGCTCTTGACAAATTTTAATTAATGGAACCAAATCCAATGTAGAGCTCCGTCCATCCTGCCTATTATGACAACCAGGCTCAGTCTCACAGGCTACCATCCTATGTCCTCTGGAGTCTGAAGGGACATTTTGACCTCTGTCTTTACAAAGACAGAATAAGCCAAGTGGACAGCCCAACCACAATGATGCTCAAAGGTAGGCGTGTTTCAGATGCCACCTCCGTGTCCTCTTAGGTAGGACCAGTCTGCACACGGTGGACGGTGGACAAGGGCTGGGGCTTCCACTTGGTTCACTGCGGGGCTTGGGGCTGTGACAGACACCAGCCAAAAGGGGTTCACCATCCACATAGCCAAGAAATTGGGAAGGCGACACCTGAGCCCATCAGGACCATTCAGGGAGCCCCAGAAGCCTCTCTGTAGATGGAGGAGTCTGCAATGGCGCTCTGTGGGTGAATGAAAGTGAGCAGAAGTAAGAGGGCCCCTGAGGAGTGAACAGTGGGCCTCACATGTTCAAAGGCACCCCAGGTTAGGGTTCCTACCCGCACCCTGTATGAAGGGAGCCCACCGTCACACAGCCGTAGAAATGCAGTCCAGCAACACACGGTGTCTGCCAGCTTCTCGGACCGTGGGTTCACAGGAAGATGCCTTCATTTTCAAGTCCAAATTCCGCCTGCTCCTGGGATGGCGAGGTGACACTCTTCTCCTCGTGTGCAGAATCTGGGAGCATCGGCTGGTTGTTTCTGGGAGCCCGCCTAGCTCACTATGTCTGGGTTTCTATTCTATGGTCATGTTTTCAGGGACACCGACCAGGTGACATCCACAGGGAGGCTTGAGACCCTGATGATTCCCAGGAGATTTTACATGGACACTGCCGGGCTGACTCCCTACGTGTGCTGTACGATTGACCTGCAAACAGCCCGCCAGTGCAGAAAACAGCTGCCCGGGCTTGGGGTGGTGGACCTGGCCCTGGGCACAAGCGAGGCCAGCGTGGCCCTCAGCATGGAGGACAAGTGGAAGCTCCATGGCATTAACCTGCTCTCATGAGCCCCACAGAGGCCCGCGCTTCTTTTCCACATTTAGGAACTGTATTTAGCTCCCCACCTGCCCATCCTCCCCTTAGGAGCGGGTCCCCTGTCCCTGTGCACCCCCCAGCGGGAAGGCCGTGCTGACCAGGCCCGGTGGGCACAGTAAAGGAGCGTCTCCTGCAGATGGGCAGCTGAGGCCTTCCCCAACGTTAACATCACACATCAGGTGCCCGAGTGAGTCTGAAAGAACATCCACCACACAGTCCCCTGGATCTCTGAACAATAGACTCCGCCTAACTAGTGTCAGGTGAATGTGTTTATAAAGCTCTCTGGGTTGGAGAACAAAAGAAAAAAATCGATTTCTCTGTTTATATTACATTGGCATCTAACTATGATTTAAGGAAATATTTCCAAACTAGTAATAAAAGTAGCATCAGAGGAAACCCTGATAAAGAGTACTGGAAAAGGAACCCC